TGGTTTCTGCCAATAAAGATTGCAGTGGATTTGGTTTAATTTAATTAACATTTCAATGTTATGAGGTTTTTAGTGATCATGCAAGAAAAAGATTACCTTGTTAATATTACACTGTTTTGTTGCAAAGTACTATGTACACTTACCTAAAAACTCTTTATCAAAATCTGTATTAATTGTTCGAACACAGTACAGCTGATGAGTGTACAGATAAATTTGAACTTGTTGACAGACTTGCACCATCGGTAAGAACCAATCAAAATGGCTCTGTCTTAACACAGCATATTACATATTATACTGTTTGCTTTCTACAAATACGTTTAACTGTCTGCAATCCTTATCAGATTTAAAAATAAGTCATATGCCTGACTATGAGTGTCAGGATATAATAAGCCCTCATTTTCTATTACATAATGAAAATATTCCTGGTAGTCACTATCATGTGCTTCTTCACCATCATAATCCTCAATTTGTTGAGATGCTTCTTGGATTTTTTCCCTCGAAATTGCAATTTTACATTCTTGATCTTGAGAACGTTCTGGCAAATGGTATAATACATCTGGTATTCCAGGAACTGCACCATACCTAGAGGGCCTGATTCTGTGAGTATTCCAATGAAGCTGGACATTGTCCAGGTCTTTCTGAAGTACTTCATGGAAGCAGAACCAAAGGCACTCCATATGAAGTATGTTCCCCAGATCTAATATTCCATGGTTGGACATGTCTTTGAACATGTCAATCCACCAGGATGATCTCCCACGTCTGAAGGATGACCACCAACATTCAATGCGTTGGTTGCTTGGAGAAGAACCATACTTGTGTGCTTTTTCCCCAGCAAACTCGTCGTTTCCCTCTTGTCTTAAATAACATTGCATAGCAGCCATTGTACCATTTTCTGTACCACAATCAGTTCTGAGATGAACAGGACAACAAGATTGGCTCTGTACACACTCACAGAAAAACCTCGCTGGGATTTCTGGCTTGTTGTTTGATCTGGCAACCTCTAACCAAAGAATCTTCCTACTGTATCCATCAATAGATGGAGAACCCAATGGATGGGGAACCCAAAAGGTTTGAGCTTGTCATACCCTGAAACAGTGCCAATGAATAGTATAACCTAGTTTTAGGCTTGGTAGGACAACTACTGGTAGTACAACAACAGTGTGGAAGTGGTAATATTAAACTAAAGCACTTTCACAACTGGTTGACAATTGACATAGAGGTATTTGTTGTGTATTGTCACTAACTTGAAATTTGAAGATCAGACTAGGATTTAATAAAAAAAACTATTTTTTCTCTAAACCATACTTTAAAACATGTATGTAGTACATACTAACCATCCACATGCCAGCAAAAATTTGGACCATAAGACATGTACCTTCGCCGAGCTAATCTTCGCCTCCCTCTTTGCAGAGATGCCTCGGGATTAAGTTCTCGAACAAGAGTTGCAACTTTGCTTCGGGGAACATGAATATGATGGTCTAGTCGAAGGGAATGCCACACTGCCCTGTACCCTCTGAGAATACCTGGCCCACTGATTTCACGTTGGACTACTTCCCTTAGCTGGGAAGATCGTTAATCTCCACCCCACGTCGTCGAAGACCATAATCTTGTAGCCGTCTTTTTAGTGACGATAAACTTAGTTTTATGTCATGTTGACTTGCCAAAAAGTCAAGTATCACCTTGTTCTCATACCCACAATGGAAATAATATTCTATTAAATCCTTTAATGTGCTGTCTTCCATATTTTTGGTTGCGAGTATGCACCGGGGCCGCAGTGCTTGTGAGACTGGTTGCAACAAGAAGCCCTAATTTACTTTCGTTTTCTTCCATCACTTCCGTTTGTGTCATCACTTCCGTTTTGTGTCATCACTTCCGTTTTTGTTTTTTGTTTGCGTTTTTGTTTTTTGTTTGCGTTTTTGTTTTTTGTTTGCGTTTTTGTTTTTTGTTTGCGTTTTTGTTTTTTGTTTGCGCATCGTTGTTTTCCATTTTCATATTACGTGTCGCTTTTTTAAAAGGGCTATCGATTTTAACTTGCTGTTGCTGTTCTGATTTATACGTGTTTTCCCTTTTTGCTTGCGTTTTCCTTTTTTGTTTGTGTTTGAGCCTTCTGGGCCACCGTACTTGTGGGGCATCGTATAACACGGCAAAAGCAAGTTTGATTCGACAAAAGCAAATTCAATTTGGCAACAACAAATTCATCTCAAATAAAAGAGAATTGCACACGCAAAACGAATTAGCTTACGGCAAATACAATTAGTCACGGCGAAATAAAATTGCTCACGGCAAAATAAAATTCAACAACTGGTCTGCGGTTTGGTCAGCGGTCGACGAATTACTTCATGTTGGAATAACATTACAGATTGATTGTGTGAACACCCCAATGTATCCCGATATGATCCTATTCGCGCCATTTTCACTTTCGAGCGCGCCATTTTGGTTGGTCTTAGAGTTTGCGAGTAATAAATATTTGTAGCTTGTTCTGCCCTAATTGCGGCAATCAAACAGTGGAGTATGGAAAGCCATATGCATATTGGACAAAAGCTCTCAAGTTTTTCTCGCATGGTCGAGATTTTACTCGCAGGGTCGAGATTTTACTCGGACGGTCGAGATTTTACTCGGACGGTCGAGATTTTTCTCGCAGGGTCCAGATTTTTCTCGGACGGTCGAGATTTTTTTTTGCGGTCGAGTTGGTCGAAATTTTTCTTTGTGTCTTCTGCTGATCTTGTTTCATTCATGTTATATGAGTTTATACTTGAAAGTTGGTTTAATAATTAGTGCAGTCACATTTTACTCTTCGATTACGTTTAGTAATGAAAGGATCAGTTACTTTGTTGGTGTATTATTCTTTCCTTGGTATTTTGTATTGCTCAAATTATGCGCGGGCAAATGATGAAGACTTGGAAAATTTTCTTTCATCGCTGGATCAATGCTTGATGCAAATTGAAGAGCATATTGAAGATCCTGGCAACATTAGAGTTATAGAATATTTGTAGGAACGACTTGAAGGAAATATTCAAATAATCATGGCCATCTCGCTGATCTTGAGACGTCTTGTGGATGGTTTGCCGATATATATTCTCATTGAGTCATTTCTTCAGTCTTTGCGAAAAACACTACAGGCTTTAGGGGAAAAGATTTACAGGCATCAGGAGCCGGTCCAAGCCCAACCCTTGGTTCCTGCGCAAGAAGAAAGTACAGGTGGCAAGCGTAGATACATTGTTCCACGGGAGCAGATAGAAGTTCTTCGCAGTACAGGTATGTCGTACATCGATCCAATCAACCGTAAGATCCGGCGAAGATACACTATTCAAAGACAATTGTATAACGTTAGAAAACCCAATCACCTCTGGCATATAGACTCCAATCATAAGCTGATCAAATGGAGGCTTATTTTGCACGGTTGCGTCGATGGCTACAGCAGAGCAGTCATCTATTTAAAGTGCTTCACTAATAACCTTGCCAGCACGGCTTTACAGTGTTTTATTTATGGAAGGGAAGAATTTGGATTTCCGTCTCGCTTGAGGGGTGGTAGAGGAGTCAAAAACGTAGATATTGCTCGACTTATGATTGAAAGGAGAAGACTAAATCGTGGCAGTTTCATCGCGGGTCGTAGTGTGCACAATCAGAGGATTGAGCGACTTTGGGCCGAGGTTAACCGAGTATGTTCGGCTTATTACAAAGACTTGTTTAACTTCATGCAAGATGAAGGCCTCCTTGACTGTGACGACGAACTCAATCTGTATGCAATGCACTACGTTTTCCTTCCAGCTATTCAGGCATCATTGGATGAATTTGTCCGTCAGTGGAACAACCATGGTTTACGAACTATGAATAGCATGTCGTCACTTGCTCTCTGGTATTCAGAGGTGGAAACTGGCGTCGATGATTTTGATATAGGCGATATTACGTTATATGGGATTGATCCTGATGGTCCGGTGGTAAATAATCCCCGAGCGGGCGCAGAGCGCCTGCGAGGGTACTAATTCTGCTCGGAGATTAGACTAATTCCGCTCGGAATTACACCCGGAACCCGGGAGAACATAGCCGAATCCAAAGTTGTCCAAATTCTTTGTCATGGACGGTCTATGTTGGGTGGTTTTGTAAGTTATGCGCATGCGCGAGTAATCAACAAACGGTCTGATTGGCTAAGACAGAAAGTTTGAATTTCAATCAGAACGTCAACAATTTAACTGTCATTTCGTAAAACTTTTTGTGCAAAAGCGTTTCATAAACTTTGTGCAAAGTAAAACGAAAAGAAACAAAATATATGAAGCATAACAGATAGCAAAGATGAACATGCAGGGATACAATCAAGACAAAGCCGTGTAAGAGAAATAGTTCATAATCTGCAAGCTTATAAGTGTTTTCAAAGGGTACGTGTTTACTTTGTTTCTTTTGTATTTGCTTCGCTGTAAGGATGAGCTGTATTTGTATAATTTCATCTTTGTATGCTGTTTATTTGTTTAATTTTCAGCTTTTTATGCAAACGCATAAACCTGTAAAAGGCTATTACACCTTTCCTTTAACTTCAAAAAGTGTTTTTGAAAGTGTAATTTGAATTTTGATATAAAAAATACACACTATGAAGCATAAAACGTTTAGCGCCATGTAAAGGAGCCCACTCAGGACAAACAGCCAGCATCAAAGACGAAAGAGAGGATGCTCTGCTATGTGAGTTATGCTGCGATTAATCAAGAGTCATCACCCCCCATTAATCAAGAGGCATCACCCCCCATTAATCAAGAGTTATCACCCCCTATTAATCAAGAGTCATCACCCCCCATTAATCAAGAGTTATCACCCCCTATTAATCAAGAGCCTGAAGTGTCTCTTTCAACATCAAATGCCACTCAGCTGACGTTTACTTCTCATGCAACCTATTTTCAAGGTTAGGAATAGCCTTAAAGTAGTGTCTATTGATTGTTTTTCAGAATATTAAAGCAGCAATACGGCGCATTAAGTCGTGTTAAGTTGTTACAATTAAACAATGTAATGTAGCCTTACAGCTGTCGTAGGTGCATGGTTGGTTGATTTGTGCGGATTTGATGATAAGATGGTTGTTTGTTAGATCTGCAAGTTTTTATTACATACAGTAATACATCTATTAATACTAATTCATGATTTCATTTCCTTTAGGAAAAACTGTTGCCTTGTTAGACCAAAGTAAAAAAGTTCATGCATACGGTGTGGTAACAGGCCAGTCAACTGCAGTCAACTGTGCATGGCAAAACTGTACCTTCAAGATATTTAGCAATAGGTATCACATCGGTTTTGCCAGGAAGTAAGCTCTTACCTATCGTTGGCAATAATTTTGAGGAAGAACCTATTTTGGAAGGTGGTTTTTATATATGGCCATTAACTAGATTAGCGTTGCTTAGTCAACTGAGACCGATTGCAAACCCTAAGTAGATGCTGAAGCCCGATTTCATATACATCCACAGATTGTTGAGCGTAGTAAGAAATTTGTATGCTGGAAAATCTATTGGGTATACCTTTCGTTTTATAAAAATTTCTTCGTTTTTAACACACTTCAATCTGTTGAGATATCCAGATGAAACATTCTTCCGAGTGTATGGCATACATTCTCTAACGAATCCGAATTCATAATGAAATTTGTGGCGAAATGTTTCTCTAAATACTAGTTAAGCATGTACAGGGGCGAAACTAGCAAGGTAACTGAAGGGGCGAATATTCATATATTCTATTCATATAGACGGATTTCGTTTGTTCGCACATGTTTTTGAAAAAAAGCCGTCGGGCAGAGCATAATATACGAATATTCACACCCCCCCCCCAAATGATCGCGTTAGATTTGCTGCAGAACATGTTGTGTTTTTTAATTTCGGTCTTGAAATATAAATTAGTTTGAGAATGGAATCCAGTAAATCGTCGGATTTTACTGAAACGTGCCAAGATGTTTTGGTATTCCACGCGCAATTTTGCATATACCAAATTAAACATTGTAAATTCTCTCAGTCTCATTGTAAAATCTTTGCCTACTAACACACCTGATGATTCCAAAAAAAATACACATCGGGGACTTCAGATTTCGGGGATTTCTGATTCATGCATTGTTCTCTAGATATATTTTTTAAAATTAAAGATAACTTCACACCATATTATAGTATGCCGAGTACCTTTGCATGAAAATTATTCTAAAATTGATAATCATTGCCATTCTCTTTTCTGGTAATAATCTTGAAAATAATTAAGATTATTTTCAATTATCTGTGCAAAAACTGAATTAACAATTTATCTGCACGTCAAAGGCAAAAGAGAATACCGAGCTGGTAGAATGATGCTTACAGCTTCACAAAAACATTGTGTGGTATACATGTTTTGCATGCACTTGCGAACTACCGCATGATGCCATTTCTGCTGACGCTATTGTAGCTTGTTTCCATTACAAGTTCAAATCAAATATTCATAATATCCTCGGAAAATATGTAGTCATTATTAAAATAGTTTATTTAACCTTTGGCGGATTGATACGCACAATGACACCCCATTGCAAACAATGTAACAGATATTAAACAAAACTGTGTCTGGTGATTATTAAGTAATGTTCACATGAGGATTTGTATGCGAAGATGTTCGCGCAACAAATAATCACCCTTTAATTAAGTTCGTGTTCAAGAATTTATGACATTTCCTTTCAAAATAGAGACGAACATCCCATTAACAAGGGTATCAGTTGTGTGAAAAATTAGCAGCAAATGTTTTGGTGTAACATCACTTTAATTAAAGTTGGTTAAATTCCAACTCGCAGTTGAGAGTTTGTCTACAGTGTGAATGTGGATATGTGTATGTTTGTCTACAGTGTGAATGTGAATATGTGTATGAATATGAATGTGAATATGAATGTGAATATGAATGTGAATACGAATGTGAATGTGAATAGCCTATGTGTATAAATACGAATGTGAATTTGAATGTAAAAGTGAGTGTGAATGTGAATATGTGTATGAATATGAATATGAATACGAATGTGAATACGTGTATGAATATGAATGTGAATTTGAATGTAAAAGTGAGTGTGAATGTGAATATGTGTATGAATATGAATATGAATGTGAGTGTGAATGTAAATATGTGTATGAAATATGAATGTGAATGTGAATATGTGTATGAATGTGAATGTGATATACTAAGTTTGGTTAACAAAAGTCGTCCACTACAGTTTGTTTCATCCCTATGATTCCAAAAGATTTTTCTAATAGTATACATTAATTTCAGCTACAAGTTTAAAATCATTGAGCGGTTCCAAAATATAGAGATGCTATATAGGTTATACCAAAGCACTGTCTGTGGGTTGGAATCGAACCAACCTTAAATCAGCCAGACACAGTTTATGTAAAATGACGCAAAGGTATGTCCTAAAAGATTTTTCATACCGGGAGGTTATACTTGGTTACAAGGTATGCTTGATTACCATTTATTACCGGATTATATTATATTAGTTGATACAAGTTCGCCAATATTATTTGATGCCAATAACTCGTCTTTGAATACTCAATCTGCCAAAATTCGACATGCCAATGGTAAGAGAGTTCCTCACCAACTTTGTACAACAGTGCACATGTCCTGTACTTTATTTTAATTTTTCTATGAAGATTACAATTACAGTGTCTCAAGCATCTCAAGCAATGTTAAGCATCAGGATATGAAGTATGGACAAGATTCCCAAATTCATGCTCGTCTTGCGCTTCTAAATTCCAAATAAATCTACAGAAATTTTGTAAGTTCAACTTCGATCCAGAAATTAGAACTGCACCATGCGGGAAGTGTAGGTGGGAATAGAAATATACAATTTTACCATCTCTGCACAAGAATACGGATGTACGTTCGTGAATTATGAATTGTGCCACAGACTTCTCATTGTTAAAAAGATGTTCCAGTTGCCCAACGATCGTGGATTGTTGGTAAGGATCTGCAAGTCTCACAAGAAGAATCCGAGTAACTTCTGCACTTATCAGACCCGACAATAACTGTGTAGCTTCTTCAATCGAAAGATATCTGTTTGGCAAATTATCACAGAAGGTGCTATAAACCATGTTACCCATAGAGATGCATTCGCATATTGCATTTATCCAGGAAAAGCAAAGTGGGCTTGTAGAATCATCTGGAATGTCCAATTCATTCGTGAGAAACCTATAGCCTAATAGGGTAGCAATAATGCTGCATGCGTTACTTCCATCATTTCCTGCTAGAGTGCTCTGACTCACAGATACTAGAAATTTCCAACAAATGACATCGTCCCACACTAATTCCCCAACCAACGACTCCAAGCAATCTTCATTCTCAGGTAGAATTATCAGTGGTGCGTTATCGCCAACATTATCGTCGTCATCGAAATCACTATCGTTATCTGTATTATTTCCATCAGATTCACTATCGGTATCACTAAGGTCATCAAATAGCTGCTGGAACTCGTCCATAGTGCTGTTTAAAACCACTGAAAAGGACGAGATACCATGTGCTAACTGACATAACGCAAAATCCTCACCTCGTTTCATTAATGCCATTTTACCATGCATGACGGAAAGTGTTCTTGACGAACTAGCGTACGTGCGAAAATGCATGGGTTCGTCTACCTCATTATTTGAACCTGAAGAGAGGAAACATAAGCTGCAAAAAACATAAATGAAAGACCGTGTTTTTGCACGACTTTTCAAACGAAGATGCTGCGCTCAAACGTTAACGTTTGCTACCTGTTTCTGGTAATTTTCATCCAAACAAGAATATCGTAAATTAATTACTAACCTATCCAGACTCGTTGTATGACTATTGTACTGTACCTGCATTTAAGGACTTGATCTCATCCTTTCTTTGACGGAGTTTAAATATCAAGGTTTTGTAAAATGTCAAGAAGTTGGACATCTCTGTCTTCAGAAGATTCTGTTCCTCATCAAAACGCTTTGTTTCCATCCATTTCTCCACCACGAGACGTTTAGTTCTTATTGGTAAATCTGAATTAAACCAAATAATACGGGTTTATAAAGACAAAACCAAAAATTGCCCAAATACTGCTCCTTACAGTGGCCTATATTTTGACCTCTTTAACGTCAGTATACTTGGTAGTGTTGCTTTTGTATTTTTATCTGCCTAACACATTGGCGTTACAATGGTTTTTATGCCACTATTTACAACCAAAGGCCCGTCGTATGGGAGTTTGTGCACAAGATAGCCGGTTTAAGTTACCAAGGCGCTACACTGCCACAGCTTGGGGAAACCTACCCATAATATTCTCTATGCACATAGTGTATAAGATACATGTAACTTTCCTACAAACCTTCGGCGTATGTAACAAGCTCAGAGTGATCTATCCATTTAAAAAACCCATTTGCAACGTCTTCTACCTCAATGTCATCATTTGAAATTCAGTTGTAAAGAGATACCGACGTTGCCAGATCAGCTTTCTCCTTAGATATTTTCCCTCTCAGACGGAGTCGCTGCTTGGATGAATCTTAAGAGTTACGGAGTACATTTACAACATATGCTGGATTGTAACAGACATTGGTTAAATACATTACTGTTATACATGAAAACTAGGCCGAGGAGCTAAGTGCGATACAAATACCTATAAATCATCCTTCCTTAGCACCACAACCTTCCTTTCATATGATTAGCGAGATTTAGAAAACACGAGGTGACGCCTGAGACGCCGTGAAAATGGCGTCGATATAGCGCGATCACAACCATAGATGGACATATCACGCTATATACACGCCATTTTCACGTCTTAGGCGTCACGTTGTGTTTCCTAAATTTCTCTATTGCCGGGCGTAACGTCTATTGGCTGGAACGTCGGATGAACCACAGGAACGACTACTACTTGGGGCCGGTTGTGCAAAAGGCGTTTAGCTTAAACGCTGGATAAGTCCCTTCTTACAACAGACCCCAGATTGATTACTGAAAAGTATACGCTTGACTGTTATACTTGTCTAAGAAATAAATTCAAGAAAAAGTACCTGCACATTTTCCCATATTATATGATAACTGTGCAATAGCGAAGTGTTTAAACATTAATCGTCTTTGTAGATCGGGAAGGCACCTAGAGAAGCGCAAATTTGTCAGTTTAATTCTTACAGTAGGTGCTATTATATCGTAAAATAATTTGACCCGTCAACAGCTATTCTCTCCCTGAAATAAATTATGAAAAAGACAGATTAATAAAATTATAGCTGCTCAAATGCCGTCTTTACGAACATTGAAACTCTTCTAGGAATATTGGAATATCTTATATTCAGGAAGCATATGTTTTGTTGTAGTACCAAGACGTGAGAAGTGACTATTTACCAACTCTACCTCTTCACCAGTAGTTCCACATGCGCCGTCCTGCATACGACCACCCCATAAAACCTGTAACATAGCTAAAACATTATGTACTAGCGTGGTAATAAAAATTGTTTGGATGGCTTGATCCAACACTTGGGAATGTTCTCCAGTTAAGAAAAGCTCGCAAAGTCACTTTCGCACGTTTTTCCTAACTCTCGCAATATTCCCCCGTGTTTTGATCAGGCCATCCAAACACGGAAACCAAAATAGCCAGTTGTTTAGGAGCTGTTATGATACACAGGTTAATTAGTTGTAACCAGCTGTACTAATATATTTTTGTGAAATCGTCAAATTGTAACCTATAGGCAATACACAGTATCAACATAAAACAATACCTGACAGGACCAAGAATGGGCTCTTGCATGCATTACTGACAATGCTGGCTTCATTGTTTGCGATATGTCAGGATCATGATTGACAAGCCATGGCCAATATTTACATATAACATCATACCAAAAAAATAACACTTTCTTATGAGGTATAGATACTGTCTGCAAATAATGAGCATAACCATACAATTCACCACTGTACATATTAACCGCATGTTGGGCAATAGCATGACGACAAGCAACAATTTCCAAACCAGTCTCATCCAAACCCTTTTTCCTTTTTAAACTATTTGCAGCAGCACGCCATATAAATTCACCACAAGTGTTATCATAATAGCAACCCTAAGTCAAACAGATCACAGATGTACAGTAGATTTTATAACAAATAATACCATACACTGTATAGTGTAGTATGAAACACAAACTTATAATCAAATGATGAGATCCACTGACTTATTAATTGTACTACCTCATTTTTTTATTTCTTGTACACTTTCTGGATGTGTTGGTCAACTTTTGTTTTACATGCAATAAAAATTTCCTTATAACATGGCTCACTCAGCTGCCTAAAATTAAAATACATACTTAACAGTGAAATCTTATATGAATAATCATTACCAGTATCAACCAAATGTGCATATGCCCTGTTATGCAGTCTACTCAAACAATTACATTTTGCACAAACCATTAGCATAAAAAACATACCATATAGTACTGGCAATTATTCCACCCATGATATTAGGATAATAATATTTAACACTTCAAAGCAAATCTTCAAAGTAAATATTTATGTATACTGTAACAAACAATAACTTACATTCCAGCTGACTTGAAACGATAAAGCTTCATATTACCATCAACATGAGCAGAATGTTGACTTGGGTTACATGAAGGACACTCCAAGAAGTTTTTTCCCATATACTGATCCAACTCATACCTGCAATACTTCCACTCTCTAAACGAACTCCCAAATGTTGATGGATTTATCTGCCCAACCTTTAAATAAATTTTCACATTGCTCAAATGAAGTTGATCATGCTTATGATACTGAATATTACTGTCATAGAAATTCACTAGTAATGATCTACACTGCTACTTGCACCCAAAATAATCTCATCATTTGCTACATGTACCTGCTGTAGAGTATAAATGTTGGTTTACATTGTTACATTGACGTTGTGTAACACATTAGGAGTTCATTGTCATGAATTAAAATACAGTACATCATGTTGGAAAATGAACATAGGTACATTAGGCCAATATTTGTTTAAGGGAATAAACAAATTTATAAAGCACATACTCTTCCCTTCTCATGTGAATAATCCTCCGCTGATTTTAAAAACGACCTTTCTGATACCCCTGGCATTCGTTTCTGCATCAAGTCCCATTGCAATAGCAACTCCATGTCATATATGTGAATAATATTACTGGGAGTTCCTTGCCAAAACCCAAGTTTTATTACACTTTCCAGTTTCCATGGGGAAAAGACATGCTGACAAGCAAAACAATGAAATTCTGCTTTATCCAAATCAAATCTACCTAAAAACACACAGTGGTATATTTAGTACTAACATTTCATTCTAAATATCTCAACTAAAATGTTTGTTATCAATTTACAATGTCATAATTAAACATGGCATGAAAATAGCATAATTTATCCATACATAGGCACAATAGGACATTTTCACATCCTCTTTGACATCTGCATCAACAATCCAAAACAGTCTAATATCACAGTTGTGGTGTCAATTATACGGTTACAGGTCACACAAAAGTGGCAAACATTAAGACTTGAGAAAGACTTAATTATAAACAAGCTTTAGTAGGCTCTTGCAAGTTAGTCCTGCATAATATTATATATAACATAATATGTCATTAATAATAATTATCAATGGCATAATTATATCATACTCATGTTAATTATAACCATCATGGGTGTAAATAGCTGCACACCCTCATATCAAGATAAAGTCCACAACAATACTTTATAACATTGGCTTAGGTACTTGTAATTATATTATATTATATATTATATATTATTATAAATTAAAAGTGCAAATTAGAATTTTACACAACATATTAGCACCAGTATATAAAATTACACATATGATTTATACCTTTAATAGTGACAACTATACATTGATTTTCAGTAGGAACAGGAACCATTGTTCCAGTTGACAAGCATGAAGGGCAACAGTCAAAACGTGGAGGAAATAGACGACCTGTATATAAATGTATACTAGAAGTTACTATCACAAGTGAAGTGCTGCCTTCGTACACAAACTACGTCTATTGATGTATTAATCTAAAAGTTGTTGACAATATGCTAATGACACACTGTATGTTAATTTTATTTCGTTGGCAAAACGTCACGCATACACGATGTGATTATACATGGTATTCATTGTACATTTTAAAAAAGAAATACTTCTAGGGTTCAAAGCAACATATCCAATGAACACAATTCATGGTACCAATGAGGAGATCTAAATGTAGTAAAATCATTCTTTACTTCAAAGGTATCAACAGGATATTGAGTGAAATATAAAAAGTATCAAAACAATCTGTTTTAATGTCTTTGTGATCGAATAAGTTCTTATGTTGGTTCTCCAGATATTGATAATATTGCATTTCCCATCTGCTAAACAAATGTATGACAACAGTCTTTCTTTCCAATTCTGTAAATGTCTCATGTTTATGTACAGTAACATTTGGTTTTCATCAATGTTCATAACCAATGAGTTGTCAAAATTCATGAACATACAGCGAACCAATATGATGGTATCTGTATCCAAAACAACTGTGAAAGAATTCGCACCATTAGTGATGATGTAATATGTCCATAATATTTTGTTGCAGCCATTTTTGTATAATCCAGCTGTTCAGATGGAACCACACAAACTAATGATGAATTTAAATTTAGTTCTGAATTCCAAAACTATATAACAAAAAAGGAATAATTAATATGTGAAGATTTAACCTAATATGTATGGAAGGGGCAGGGAGGCATACAAATAGTTTAAAGAACAAAACTTACCATTATATATTGCCAACAATGATAATTTTCAAACATACAGTGTGATTGTAGGTTAATTGATTGGTTTATATATTAATATGAACAAGTTAAAATTAGGGCAAAATAAGTATATATATAGTTATACATAGATAGTATATAGATAGTACTGTATATACAGTATCATGTGATTTATGTTTGTAATCCCATCCTTTATTCAGACACAATGGTTTGCTCATTGTAATGCACTGCTGTTTATAGTCTGTGCTAACTTATCCAGCCTGTTTTCTTCTTCAAGCCTATATTGCAAATTAGCTGACGATTTCAAGCTTGTTAGTCGTTCATATGTCATAGGTTCTATGACACAAGATGTCAGTGATTTTACCCTGCTAATTGCAACATATGATACTCCAGCAGTTCTTTCAGATTTGCCAATATCAATCCAGGCTTTTGGAAGTGTGAGTCCCTGGCTCTTGTGTATTGTTAGAGCCCAAGCAAGCCTAAGAGGTAACTGTTGCCTCTCATGGAAACCTATTTCTGCCTGTGATGTGACAGTGATTGGACATATTGGAATACACAGTGGTTGGTTTTCGTTAAAAACAGGACCTCTATAGTTCTACTATTACAGTAACCTTGGTTCACCTTTAGCTGCATATTTTGTGAGATATTCAACACAAGCATAGTGATCAATAACAACTTGAATATCACAATTCACTCTCCATCCTTGGAGTTGAAGATGTTTCTGGTTATTTAACCTAGAATCATTTCGTTTAGTCAAAATTTTTGCTCTATAATGTTCGTTATCACCTGATGTGTTAATTTTTTCAAATTCTAGTTTTGTCTGAGGACAATGATCAAATGGGAAATGAAATCTACATTTCAACTCAGTTTCATTTGACTTTTTTCTTAGACAATAGCTAGTGCTACAACGAGTATGTCGTTGAACCATGTTTAAAGGACATTGGCAACGAAAATTTTTATTTGCCAAATCTGTTGAAATCATCTAGGAAATACTTAATTTAATGTTTTTGTGTGTCTATCGTATTTGGTTCTTGAGAAAATTTCCAAAAATGTTCATCGGTGGTCCGCCATTTTGAAAATCGAGCCTTATGCTAATTTATGCTAGCATACATTTGTGACGTCATTTGATGGGTTCGGGAAATATGATTATATAAACTATTGTTGTATTCTCATATGGCAACTTGAAAAACTTGGTAAAATAGAGTATAGAGGGGGGACAGAATCAAATACCTATGCAAAATTAATGCATCAACATTGCGGGGACATGTTTTTCAAAATATTTGGAAGAGAACATTGAATATGAACTATGTACACACATATTTACACATGCAGTGCACGTCGATACACAACAGGACGTTACGGTGGCAACACAACACAACTAATAACCAAACTCCCAAAGTTTAGAATTCTACTTATATTTAGATTTATACTAAAGCTAAGGCGCGCATATTTTCCCCTGCTAACAATTTTACTATATTTTAGCATAAACAAGACGCCTTTTCTGGCGTTAACTCCGGCGTGCCGCGCACGTGCTAGTCTTCAATATAAAGGCTCTGAACATAAACAATACTATGGAATGCCATGCATAGGTGTCTTACGTGGTATATATTCATCATATGCGGTGCTTTTGTCTCTATATGCTGTCCTTTTGACATTATATGCGGTGCATTTTTCTTTATATGCTGTCCTTTTGACATTATACACGGTGCGTTTCTCTTTATATGCCGTGCAATTGACATTATATGCGGTGCATTTTGTACAGTTCATATTCATTTAGATGCCTTGCAAACCTAAATGTTGTTCGATCGCGAAATTCAGAAGCTCATTGTACTTTAAAAAGTATAGAAGTTTAATTGTTCAAAAATGTAAATAAACCGCATGATAAGTTCACTTTGTCTTACACTTTGGAATTCGTGCTTTATATATTAAATCTTCAATCCTGTGCAAATTAACTGCGACGTGTCAACGCAACCATAAGTGATCATATCTTGTTAAACGGCGAAATAGCAGCGATAATATTAAAATAGGACCAGAATCTACATGTATTTAATATATTCTTTCCCCAATTAAATCGAAACTTAATCGAACAGCATCAAACGCACGGTTTATTTGTTCCTTTTAGAGGAATTGCCGTATCATGTGAGAGAAATCAAATGAACATGTCATACGACACGACAAAATATTATTTGAGTGACCACACGACGAAGCGCGAGTTTGCGAAATGTTCGTATTCGTCGTACTCTAGTGCTTTTTCATAGCAGCAATAACAGTCTACAGCCCTTGTTAATAATGCGCAATGTCCACATTTACACCAAGTAAGTTTTTCAAGGCGCCTGGCATTCGCTCTTTCGAACTCGCGATCGAAATCTTCGTCAGAGGAAGATGAATCACTACCGTTTTCGGCATCGCTATCGTTAGATATATACCACAAGATTTTCCCTGCGCCTCTGGCTCATATTGGTAGGGCAACACTTCCTCTAACTGCATGGTTTTCGTTAATATGTTCCATGACAATCATAAAAAAACTACAACTCCCTTTTTAAAGCAAAAAATCTCGATAAACACAGTAAACACGCTAGTAAAATATATTGATGTGTTTAGGGAACCCATCAAATGACGTCACTTCCGCCAAATATAATTTTTTCAAAAATTGATCCAATATGGCGGACAAGGTCCAAATTTTAGCTGAATTGTGGTGAAAATAACTCATAAACGAAACATTTTTGGAACAAATTAACACCATATCCATAATTAGACGGTTGAACACTTTAAAAATAGCGAATAAAAATTTTCGTTGCCAATGTCCTTTAACAGATCATCATAATCTGACTGTTTGTCATGTTCTGGAATGTCACTATGTCTCCTTTGACATGGATGAGTTTCAGGTCTTATCCACATATCCTCATCTGGTGGATTTGGATTAACAGTTGATAACAACCAATCAGCATACTGACATACTGTTTCAGCCGCCTTTTGGCCAGCTTCAATATCCTGGTCTATTTCTGTTGTACCAGAAAACTCATTTTCATCTTTAAATTTTTGAGCTAAGAAACCTTTCAAAGCAGTCTGAGTAAGTTGACATAAACCAGGATCATTGTTTATTTAGCAGTACCATGACAATGGATACTACCTCTACCTTGGTATTCATACCTAAACCAGTGCCATTTTGCACCAAGTGTATCATAAAGCCAGTGTTTAACAAAGCTTTCTAATCTTTGAGTAAAAAACCAATCCACCAGATGGGGATTGTTAATTACATTTTGTCGTCTGACCTCACTGGTAAAATTACCAGTTTCACAATCAGTGTTGTTGTTGTTCACCAACTGGTAGAAAACTACTCATTTCAGTAGAGTCATTATAAACAACATCCTCTGAGGGATTATCAGTGGGAGGACCAGAATCAGGTGAACCATTGTCATCTGAGACCATATCATCATTAGTTTCAACAGTCATGAGATCTGGTGGCACATCATTTTCAGGTAATGATTTTAATGCATCTTCATTAATTAATAACTCAGAATAATGTGGATTACTGTTTATAAGCCAAATTAAGGCATTGTGCACTTTTTGTTTTCGCACTGTTACATCTTTGAAGGTGTTTTCTCTACCTTTTACCTTGACAATAATCACAGCCAAGTCTTTGGGGTATCTTGGCAAAGATGATGCAAGTTCAGTCACATTTTGTGGCAAGTTAATACAGTGCCCTGAATAACCTTGTTGACCACCAGGTTTAATATAAACTCTCATGATTGGGAGTGCACGAGCAATTAACATTTCCTCAACTTGAGTCAAATCATTTAACTCTTCTGGAACAGAAGATGGAATCATTGAATTTTGAGAAGAAAACTTCTTGGGAGATTTTTTATCCCTAGAACATCTTGAGCAGATGTATTCTGTAGGTGACTTTGGTTTGGACTTTAATGGCCATGCCTCTTTGCAAACTGTGCACTTATGGATAAAATAATCATTAGATTTATGAAATTTAGCAATGTTTTGTTTTGCCCAACTTTGTTCATGGATACCACCATGTTTAAAAATATAAAATTCTTTTAAATATTCATGTTGACTCACATGTTTGGGCTTATTGGCATTTAGTAATTGCTCTACTTGTTTTCTTTTCTTATACTTTCTAGCATTTTCTAGACAAAGTTGTTTTTGACATTCAGTTTCTAATGTCAGCTTCCTTT